GGGGCTCTTTAATTATGGGATCCCTGTGTCAGTGTTGGGATGGGCTTGGGCCGTGCGGCTGGGTGTAGGGGACCAAGAGTGTGCTTTTCCTGAGCTCCTGGCGCTTCTGAAGGACGCGGTGGGAGGAGAGCGGGTCCTCAGGGCAGCCGGGCCCCTGGGTGGCCCCGCTGGCCACTGGAGTGTTTGCTGTCCACTGTCTCTGTGGAGATAGCTGTCCGGCCACTGCCCCACCCCAGTGCTCCACGCTGAGGTTGGGGTTGACCCTTTGGCACTTGGTGTCCCTGCTGGGCCTGACGGGGGGCAGGGCGGGGAGAAGGCTGTTCCCTAGCACTGAGCACAGAGCTGGCCCTAGATGAGCCACCGGGGAGATCAGCCCCGGCAAGTCTGCACGTGGGGGGAAGCTCAGGCTGGGGGCCTTGCCTGTGTCCCCTGCCCGTGTCCTCTAGGGCCCTGAGCCTGGATTTTGGAGGAGGGGTTCCTGACTTCCTGCTAGGGACACTTCATGGCAGGAGGTTATGTCCCCAGATTGCCTCAGGGAGGTTTCCAGAGGGCTGGGGTGAGGAACCCCTGAGAAACTGGTGCCCTTGGGTGCAGGGGGTAGGGTCCCCCAGGCCACCATGTGTACTCTGCTGGGTGCCTGCCACCCTGCAGACCTACGCAGTGGTACTCCTGGGCCTTCCAAGTGGGGTGGGTGCATGTTTCAGGCCCCTGGAACCCTTTTGGGTGACCCCTATAGCCTTGTGGGGGGCTCATTCCCGGATGTCTCCTGGGCTAGCCTGATAAGGAGCTCTGGTGGTGCACTGGTTAAAGCATTCAGCTGCTAACCAAAAGGCTGACAGTTTGAACCCACCAGCTGCTCCACAGGACACAGATGAGGCAGTCTGCTTCTGTGAAGATGACAGCCTCGGAAACCCCACGGGGCAGTCTACCCTGTCCTACAGGGTCACTATGCGTCGGAATTGACTCGGTGGCAGTGGGTTTTATTTTGTTGTTTGGTTTGAGGTACCACAGGACAGTGGGATCCAGACCCCACAGGAGGCTTGCGATTGGCTGGTGGGATGCCCAGGCTACCAGCCTTTGCTTGCCAGGCCAGGACTCCAAGGCCATGGCCACAAGCTTTTCTGGGGTTCAGGGGTGTTGCTGGAAGGTGACAGTTTAAAAAAAAAAAAGACACTGCTGTCTCCCAGCTTTTAAACTTTACTGTGAAGAACTGAGCACACGTAAGAGTGGGCAGAAGAGGTGCTGAGCCCCACGGACCCACTGCTCGGCCCACCCTCCAGGGCACAGCCACCTGTGCCTGTCGTGTCCACGGTATCTGCAGCACCAGGCTCACGTCTCTGACCACGGACATGTCCCTAATGGATGACATGTGTGGTGCGTTCAGATTTCCAGTGGCCTCGTTTTTTATTGTTTTCGTTTTTGTCACCAGTTCCTGACATGAAGATCCCGTGTGTGATGGGGTAAGATTGCCCCGTGGGGCTGCTGGGCCGCCGTCGTCACCGTGGGACATCGCCAACCTGTGTGCTTCCCCGGGGCCGCAGGGTGGCCTCGAACCGCCAGCCTTTTGGCTGCCAGACGAGTGCAGACTGCGCCACCCAGAAACCTCTGCCTCATTTTCAAAAAAGGCCAGTTTGCTTTAGGGCCCAAGCGAGGTCCACGTGATGCAGCTGTCCGTCCTCCGGGGCTCTGGTGACATCTGGCCTCCCTCCCTGCTTTCTCCTCATGCAGTTTGCGTCTGGATTTTCTATCGCGTCTGGGGGCTGTCGTCTCCTTGGTGCCCCGGGAGATGCCCCTCATCTGTATGTCCTGTAACGTGGTCGCTGGGTCCAGAGCTGTGCCATGGACGAGCAGCCAGCTCAGTGGCCATGTGTCAGCGTGGCTGCCACACTGGGTGGTGCAGACTCCTTCGGAGAATGTTCCGGGCTGTGCCGCCCTTGCTGCAGCTGTCGGTCAGCTTCAGGTGGGACTGTTTTGGACGGCCACGTCTTGGCCGGTGGCCAGGGCTGGCTGGGGCCTCGTGCTGTTCAGTAGCCGGGAGTCAGTAGCTTCTTGGCTCACTGATTTAAAATATTGGGGCCTTAGGGGGTTCTGTTAAGGAGCTCGAGTGGTGTGAGTCACACACTCAGCTGCTAACCCAGAGGCTGGCGGTTCGAACCCAGATGACGGCCTTGGGAACCGTATGGGGCAGAACCCTGTCACGTGGGCGCTGTGGGTGGGAACCAAGTCAACAGCAAACAGCGGCAGGGTCTGTGTTGGCCTGGAACCCCCAGGGCTTGGTCCTTTCCCGCCTGTGCCCCCGAATGAAGCTCGTGGGGGAAGCCGGGGAGCAGCCCCTCTGCACCGTCTGTGCGGGGACAGGTCTGAGGGAAGGTGGTCGCGGGGTGGACACCTGGGCTTGGCGTGGGCACAGCATGTTAGACTGCAGCCACCCTGTGCCTTGCTGCCCTGGGGCGCAGTGGAGGAGCCCAGAGCCCTGGCCCTGAGCCTCGCAGCACGTCCCGTGCCAGGTGTTGGCGAGGCCCCAGCCAGTCGTGGGAGTGGCCCATGTCATAGCAGCACAACTATGGGTCCTCTGAGGACGCAGACACAGGTGATGGGGAAGGGGCGCTTTGCAGGGGCTGGACGGCAGGGACCCGGCGCAGACAGCATTGAAGCGGACGCTCAGAACCTGTCTGCGAGTCTCCCAGCATTCTAGACGGGCTTGTAGCGACCCCACGTGGCAGGATACAGCCGTCTCCTAGGGAGCCCGAGTTTGTCATCCGCACAAAGCACAGCGCACGGGGTGGGTTCCAACTGTCATCCTTTAGGCGAGCAGCCAAGTGCTTAACTGTCGCACCACCAGGGCTCCTTCAGAGCGTCCATCCTCACCAAAAACCAGACCCAGTGCCGCAGAGTGGATTCCGACCCACAGCGCCCCTAGAGGACAGGGTGGAACTGCCCACAGGGTCTCCCAGACTGTCAGTCTTCACAGAAGCAAAGCCCAAACCACACC